GAAAATGAAAGGGATTGCCTTCTGTCACTAAATCGACCACGGTCGAGAATGACGACATACTCACACCAAAAAATGTTCTTGATTTCGCAGCATCACTAATCTTGATCTTTTAGACAATTCTAGTCCAAGAATTCTTATCATTCAAATTGAAAACAGAATATATTTTTTAATATTACTTGCAAGCGTCATTTAATATAATTAGTTTTTAGAGCTCTTGAGAATGAAAAAAATATTATCGGAAGACTCACTCGTAATATGTTTGTTTTGAACTTGAAACAAACCAAATTAATCGGATAATTAACCAATCGATGAAGAAATAAAAAAATAATAATAAATATGTTTTTAAAATTACGTGGGACTCTCATTGTAACTCTTACTTATAATATGTAAAGTAGGTAAATTTATATGTTATCAAAAAAAAAAAAAGTAGGTAAATTTATAAAGATAAAATTGTCAACCTAAATTATTAAAAATATAATCAGATTGGAATGAATTTTTGAATACACATAACCTAAATAAAAATAACTTAAATTTATTTTTATTTTTATTTTTCTATTTCCTCGCTTCAAACTCATCCGGTCACCATATTTGTCGTGTGACTAAATATCTAATATACTTTATAATGAAATCAGTATAATAATAACAAATTGTTATCATTATCAAATTAAAAATTTACGAAATAGGGATTGATGGCCGACCCGATTAGCATTGGTATCAAAGCATGCCATCTCATCTAAAATAGAGAGTATCATGAATTAAATTAGTAATGCTGAAGGAAAGAGGTAATTTCATCAGGATACGTATCATCATAATGCCAACATCACAATTTTCCCTCGTCCTTCTATTTTTTTTCCTTTACCCAGCTATTATGTCTCGATTGCAATAAACGTGTAGCCTCTTGGAAATTTCCACATATAAGCCCTCTTATACCTTCCTTTTTTTGAAGTTCCATGAGCATTAACTACATTTGGGAATGGAATTTCTGATTATGTACTATTTAGTAGATCCTCTGTTCCAAAAAAAGGATGCTCACTATATCAAAGGAAAAAGAAAAAGTCTGTGAACCTATTCATTTTCATGCTCAAATGATGAATAAACCCATGAGCTAACTACCTAGTTTATTTATTGTTGAACCAACTACCTAATTTATAATGAATTTAATTGCAAATTCCTTCAAAATCAGACAGAAGAATCCATTCAAAAAATATCCTTAGAAGATGAAGAACAACAAACATCATATTATGAACAGAGGAGTCCTCTACAGAGCAAAATGAGGAATCAGAAGACGAACAACTAATGGATATTACTGAAGTATACATGGCCACCCACGAAAATACTTCTAAAGTAAGAAGAGAAAATGATGATCAAGATGAAACCATAAAAAATCTTCTTGTCTCTTTTACAACAAAGAAATACAGGGCCATGATTCATTTTTGTTGACATCCCAAATATAAAAATGGAGAGAAGGGATGCATGAAATGGCCGCAAAATTTGGGCCCAAGGCCTTATTCACTACAAGCCTTTCAACCATTTCCTCAAAGGCGTTAAGTTTCCACTCTTGAAAATACCCAACTTGATCATTCAGTTTAGTAAGGCCCATGTCTTTTCAAAGTTTGACATAAAGGAAGCCTTTTGGCAATTGGGCATCCTACCAGAAGAAAGATATAAGAAGACATTTTGTATCCCAAATGCCTATTTATCAATGGACTATCATGTCATATGGGCTTAAAATAGCCTCATTTGTTTTCCGAAGGACCATGACCCAAATCTTCTAGACCATTCTCCGTAGTGCATTGATTTATATAATTATTGACGATATCTTGTTGAATTCCGAGACAAAGGAATATCATATAGAGTGTTATTAAATCAGTTCTTTGGGATTATGAATAGTTACAAGATTATGTTATTAAAGAAAAAGGCGTACGTGACATAGGATGCAATTGAGTTCTTAGGGATGAAATTCAAAGGTAGAAAGTACAAACTAGGACGCATCCTGGACAAGAATGATCCTTATGAGAATCTTATAACTAAACAATAGCAATTTATAGGGACTTGCAATTATCTCAGAGACTTTTGTCCCGAGGTTTACCCAAATAACTGCACCCCTAAGGCCTATGGTAAAAAAGAATCCACCAGAGTGGTATGAAAATCAAACTTTTGTTGTGAAAGAAATAAAGAAGGTTTGTCATGATCTACTGCCAATCAAGATTACCCCATTGATGATAAGCGTATTCTACAGATTGACGATATTGATAGCTTTTCGAGAGCAATTTGTTGAGATATTCAAGTGTGATGAGTCCCACATTGGTTGGTAATGAGCTAAGTGAAGAATATATAAGTGGAAGGACCCATGAACCCAATGCCTTAAGGTTTTGGGTTGAGACATGGTGTCGGATCTATTTGAATATCTCAACAATCTCCCCCCTCAAGTGTGAAACCCAACATCGATATGCTCTCCCTCAACCGAGTACGGGGTCCAAGTACTCAACCCAGGCTAGCTCGAGCCCAACCCAGCTCTGATACCAATGTCAAGCGGGTCCAGAGGGAAGCCCATGGCGGGGGCCACCACCAATGAGCTAAGCTACACCGAGTACATCAAGTGGGTCCGACACCACGTCTCAACCCAAAACCTTAAGGCTGGGTTCATGGGTACTTCCACTTATATACTCTTCACTTAGCCCATTACTAACCAATGTGGGACTCATCACACTTGAATCTCTCAACAATCTCACCTTCAAGTGTGAAACCCAATATTGATATCACACTTGAATATCTCAACACAATTCTTTTGAAAGAAAAAGGACACCAAGAAGCATGTGCGCGGATATGCAAGCGGAAAGTTTTCAGAGGTTGAGAGTTATTATCACTTCACATACAAACAGATCCTAGCCATCAAATATGGAATAAAAAAATTTGTGTTCCATCTCATCGGTCATATATTCACCATGGTGATGGACAACTCATCCTTTTCAAGAATTGTGGATTTAAAAGGAAAAATACTTCATACTCCTCAGTCGCTCAGGTTCAAGGATTGATTTAGCAGATATGAGTTTATTACTCTCAAGGCCACCAACCATCGACCTCTTAGCCATTCAAAATCCAATACCTTGATCACAAAAATGCAACCCTTTGACCACTCCATTTACTATCCCCACTATGACTACTTTGATTACTATCCACTTGAAGTAGAAAAAACTAAAACCACCGAAGATATGATAAACTACTCTAAAGAAAAGGTTTTTGAACATCGATCTAAGTTCATCATAAATATGGGTCAAGATAACATGATCTCTCTTGGTCTTATTCATCTTGAATATCCATACCACTTCTTCAGGCTAAATCCTTGAAAAGGCTTCAATAGAAATATCCAAGCTAGTCTATGGCACCTTTATAATATGTATCACATTGCTATAAAGATCCTTATTCAGACTGTCTATAAGAAGATGCTGAAAGAGGATCCTTCTCGTTCTATTTCTTCCTACCCTTCTTTTACCAATTCCACTATAAGGGAGTCTGGTTTTCCATATTAGATATTGAATTCTATTTTGAAAGGTCTAATCAGGTGATTGTCTTCTTCCACAAGACTTGGACTTGTGAGAATGGACTCCATGTCATGTTATAACTTATTGTAAAAAATGTCATTTTTTTAGTAACACCCTTGACCCTTTTAGAAAAGAAGTCTTTTCATCAGAGACATACAGAGGCATCTTGCCAGGCTCAATGATGTAATTCCCAAACAAATTTAGTCTAATAGGAAGATGATGCACCTTGGGAACCATACCCTTCGTGGTGTAATAGGCGATTCAATGAAGATTTAATGGAATATTAGAGGCATCTTAATGAAGCTTTCAAATCTCTCACTCGTCCTAAGAGGACTAATGTCTAACAAAATTTGACTCCAAAGAGTGTTCTTGTACAAAGACACCAAACAAAATTCACAGTGACTTTGATATCTTACAAGATTCTCAAGATCTGCTGGACGAGAAGATTGAGGCCTTCAAAATTACAAAAGAAAATTTTGATTATCTAGAGTCGCAATGAAAATCAGTTTGAAGGTGGGGTTAGAAACATGAACCTTGATGAGCATGAGCACATTATCAAAATAACATAAGCCCATTTTGGGACATATTGGGCCAAAAGGAGTCATCTAGTATGTTGAAGTCCAATAAAAAATATTGGTATGTTATGTAAATGCTTGTTATGTTTGCCTTGGTGTGTTTGCTTTAGTATACTTTTTAAGATTCCATCCCATTTGTAAGATAAAGTTTGTAATAGAATATGATGTAAGCAATTATGCAATCATGATTGTCCATTTGTGTTTGCTACTCCTATAAAAGGAGGTTGCAGACGGAATTTACCTACCTATCAATAAAAAGTGTGCCATTAGCTTCAATGGCGTTCCTAGTCCTAGCTTTCTCTTTCCTAACCCTCTAGTTTAATCAATGATTATTTCTCTAACATAGTCATACTAAGTATGCTATGCACTCGTAATGCATATGCATCTTGTGCAGAAAGGTTATGGCGAAACGTTGATCATTTGCTACGAACCCATGGCATTGTGTTCTTGAAATGAGTTTGATAAAGCTTCCACTTAACATGGAAGAAAAAGCTTTAGGCATCAACCTATTTTTATTTAAGACTCCAACAGGAATATCTCTATTATGAGATTCTCATGAACATGATAATTCATAGACAACCCAACAAGCATTGGTATCAAAGCTTGTCCTCTCAACTAAAATAGAGAGCATCATGAACATATGTGCTATTATACTATAACTTCTTTAAAAAAAATCTAAAAACCATTATTTTTAGCTTGAGAAAAAAGTACTAAAATATTTATTTATGCTTTTCATTTTTTAAAATAGCTCTCTAATTATTATAAAACTTTCAATTAAAAAATCACTTTTTTCTGAAAAAAATAAAATAAAATACAAAGGCCTCAGTAATAAAAACCCGTAGGATGTAATACATTCTCAATCCTTGTTTAAAGGAGAACCTATAAACAGATGCCAAATTTATTAGGGATACGAATTACCCTACCACTTATTTTGACATGAATTTATACGAATTCTACTTAATGCAAAGGGCCCATACATTAGCAGGACGAGAGAAAAGGGCACATAAACTAGTAACAAGGTCCAAACCACATCACCAAGCAGCAAGGGCAGTGAAGCACTGCCCAGTAATGGGTATTCTCTTACCGAAAGACGACTTGACAACTTGAAAACGGCCTACGACAAGTACAACTACTGATTAACAAAACAAAATTAAGGACTGGTCTTTATTGATCTTGTACTGGTTTTATTGAACACAAGGCAATCATCATACACTAATCCTTCAATGCTCCCAATGTCAAAGTTTCAGTACCAAGATCTATCATCGAATACACTTCATGGCGTGGCTTTGCAACTTCAAGTGTGAGCGACTGCTAACGAAGCCTGATGACGGATTTCACAAATCCGTGAGCAATCACTGTCCCCAAGCACAGGCGGCCCTATAGCATAAGACAGACAGATAAGAGACATGCATGATAATTAAGTTATTCGTTAGGCAATATAATTAATTACAAACCTCAAAGAAGATCGAGAACAGTAATGAAGAAGCAAAGTGAAAGACGTGTTTTATACCTTGAAATTCACAAACTTCTCCTTCACAGTAACTGAACTTTGTACATAAAACAAGAATAAAATTATAAGGAAATAATTGGCAGTCGAAGCACAAACAAGTTCACGCTATTTTTTGTCTTTATAATGTTGTGGCAAGGATTCTAAAGGCAACTATTACCAACAAACGAAACACTAATATAGGTCTTAAGGTTTAGCTTCCAACGAGAGAAAATTGAGAGAAAAACATTTTCTCTCAACTAGATAGAGACAAGATTAATCGAGTTATCTGACTACCAAACTAAATACTATTAACAGGTCGAGAAGCAAATTTCCAAAATATTGTAAGTGAAGCAAAACCCCAAAAATATACCCATGAGGATGGTCCAATGATCAAATCAGATTAATTAATGAAAAAAAGTGACCTATACACTGCAACTACACCCAAACACATTAACTACTAAAATGTTCATACTGACCTATTAAAGTAAAATAAAGACAAGATTTCTAAATATGAGATGCTTAGTTCCTCTTGACACTTACTGTTCAACGAGGTATTTTATAATAAAATAAATAAATAAATGTTAGTCTGTTATACAGTATAATTAACAAATAATTTTGAACAAGAGTGCTCATGCATCTTTTATGCCCAATTCCTCTCAACTAGCAACCACAATTTCTTTTCACTTTCTCTATTAACAAAAAAACTCATTTCGAATTAGGCAATCATAGGGACCAATCTTGCCTTAAATTCTAACCTAACTTGAAAAACATTAAAATTTTAATTTAATTGATAAATAAAAATCCTCATATCTTCATTCTGTGTAAATTATCCAATGTTAATGTACATTTCAGCCTAGAAGTTTCCTAGCATTAACATATTAAATTGTACATATCCATTATCATGTTATAGTGCGCTATGGCGGGTGTCAATTCATCCTCATCTCAACAATTTTACTTCAATGAGAGGATAGCTTGATTCCAATAGCACTTCTTTCACTCCCAACATCACAAGCCAGGTATTCACTATTCAGTAATCAAATTTTACTGATAGCATCACCAATTCAAAATTTAAAACTTATAGTATTCATTTCTTCTTCTTCATGATTTTTTGCTTCCTCGCTTCCTATCTTAAATGTTATAGCATGCTTTTCCATATAATTCTTGGCTTCATCACTTCTTTAAATCAGCAAACAAGAATGCAAGAAAATACCAGCATGTGTTTTCCCCCCTCATATAATACAGTCTATACTCTATACAAATCAAGAGATGTCAAGGTCTTTTCCCCTCAATTCAAATGGCATGAAGGAGCAATGGTAAAGTTGTTCCTTTGTGACTGAAAGATTAGAGGGTCGAATCGGGAAATAGCCTTTATTCAAATATGTAAAGATAAGGATGCGTATAAGGATTGTTCTCATCCCTAGCTTGCTAGCTTGCTAGTTGGGGTTTAATGGGAAGTGGTTTCTATTAGACAGAGATAGCTATATTTCATATGACATCTCTTCTAGTAGGTATTCCACATCGTTTTCTTTTTCTTTTTCTAAGTTTCCTTGTGTTTAAGGAAGAGAATGAACTTGAATAGTCAAGAACCCATCTGAGTCTCTAATGAAAGTGCCATCAGCCAAAGGTCATTGACTCATAAAGTTTTGAGAAAATAATCTTCATTAACCATAAAGAGCAGTTAGAGACTCTTTATCATGCTTCCTTTTGCCAAAGAACGGATAAAAAAAAAGTCATCTGTATAAAAATATCATGTTCCAAGAAGTGATTAAACCCAAGCATGTACCTAATCTTGCATAATAAGAACCATATATACCGAGTATGATTAGTACAAAAAGGCTTAAGGTACTCCTTTTGTTTTTGTTTATTCGATTCACTTACAGAAAGAGAAAAGGAGCATAAAAAAATTTCTTAAGGATATATATATTGTCTAGCAACCTGCAAACTTAATGGAAATTGAACAATGATAAAACATGATAATCATGATATGTAACCATGAAGTCTGAAGGCCTTACCAAATCAAGGAAAAGAAAGAATACAGCATGCCTCCATAAGATGAAAGTGCATATCTTGATGAGAATAACTACTCAACAAGAAGTGCATTAAAGATAGCAAAAGGGAACTCTTCCCCGATAAATTCAAATAAACACATCTAGGGAGAATTAAAAAATGAAATTGCGAATATTTGCTAAGACTACGTTAGCTTGTTCCAGGAGCAGCTCAATATTCCAAGTCATGTTCCAACATTTTCTACACAGCGCCTGCATTACCTAAAAGGAAGACTAACTCCTGAAAGCTCTCAAGCAACCGTGAAATATTTGGTCACTAATATAGATATCCATTTGCAGCAATGTATGCAGTCTCAAGGAAATATGTGGACTGTATTGGAAGCAATCCACTTCATTTTAAATTGAATCTACTAGGGGATCATTACATAAAACCTAAAATCAAATATGTGGACTGTATTGGAAGCAACAAACCAGACATACTATGATTGTGGGCTTACCCGAGATTAAACATGCTGTTTATGGGATCCAGAAGCTGTGGCTGAGAAGGGTGTTGCGGCTGCTGTTGTTGCGGCTCCTGCTGGTGCTGGTGCTGGTGCAAGCTGGCACCAGTGGCGACAGCGACTGCACTGGAAGGAGTTCCCTTTGCTTCAACAAATCTCCACATATACCAGGAAGCAACAGAGCGATAGGGCCTCCACTTCTCACAAAATTGGTCCATCTGAGAGGGTCGAGGCAAGTCTTGTAAACCGTAAAGAAGCTGAACCCCTTTGCGAACACCGAGATCGTTAATGGGAAGAACATCAGGTCTATGAAGGGAGAAGATCATGAACATATGAACAGACCAAGACCCAATCCCATTGACCATGGTAAGCATGGTGAAAAGCGACTTATCATCCATATTAACAACGGCTGAATCAGACAGTATCCCATTCTGGTATTTCCGGGCCAAATCATGGAGATAACTAGCCTTTCGTCCCGAAACCCCAATTTGTCGAAGCTGCTGAGGAGTTAGGGCAAGAACGGTTTCTGGAACAACCCCTGCTTCCCCACCACACAGAGCGATGAAGCGAGTGTAGATTGAAGTACCGGCTTTAAACGCGAGTTGCTGGTACAAGATGCTACGAGTTAGGGCAAGGAATGGGGTATTGAAGTGATCGAAGGTAGGAGGTGGGTGAATGTCAATTAGAGGGGAGAGGAGTGGGTCTGCGTTGCGGAGGTAACGCAGTGCGATCTCCACCTCGCCTTCACACGAGAGTGACCTAGCCACCATTCGAGGAACCACTATGGCTCGTTGTTGTTGTTGTTGCTGAACAATCTTGTTGTTCCGGCCACAAGTCTTGCCGCCGGTGGATGTGGTAGCTTTTGGGGTTTCCATTTGAGATTGAGAAGTTGTCGGGTCAGGAGAGACCTTCCGGATCTTTCGAGGGCGCAGGGGGATTTTCGATGCTGGAGAATTGGTTTGCGGGGGAACATTGTTCAGTTCCGACTCTGTAGGTGTACCATCAGAAACAGCGGCGGCGGCGACGGTTACGCTGGTGGTTGCGATTGTGGTGGGTGTACCATCATGAGGTTCAATTTGGGTTCGCGTTAGGGTTAGGGATTGTCCTTGACCTCGAGTCTGCTCGCCCATATGTAAGAGATTCAATTGAATATCAAGCAAAGTCAATGTCACGGATAGGGAAGAGAGGGTGGTGGTGGCAACGGCAGCGGCAGCGGCTGTGTGGCTGGCGGTGGTGTTATCTAATTAAAACTACAAGTCATGGATACGGAATAATTGAATATTCGAGTGTATAGTGATAAATATGGAAGATTAAATTGAGTGAGGAGAAAATAAAATTTGAGAGGGGGGGGGGGGGGGGGGGGGGGGGGGGGGAGTGTTTATATGATAGAATCAATGTAATGTAATGTAAATATGTAATTAGGGTTGATAAACGAGCTAGGGGCCTTTGGCTCGGTTTTCGGACTTACATGTTTAATATTGGTTGTTGGAACCAGGCTTGGACTTGTATAAAAGTTCGTTTAGTAAAAAAGTCTGAAGGCTCTAATTCAAAAGCTCGGCCTTGGAGCCTCTCAGGCTGGCCTAGTATATTAATTTTTATTTTTATTTTTTATACTATTTGTAATAGTCCTTTCTCTCTTCTCAATCCATTTCACCCTTATTTTATTAGTTAAACAGACTTTTTGAATGATTTTGTTCTATATTATGTTGTTTCGATATACATTGAATTTATGAATATTTATGGAATTACTAGTGTTGTTGATTGTATATTCTGTTTGGATAAATTTTTATTGTCTTATTTTTTCTAACAGGCCAAATCAGGCTTTCATTTTTTGTAAATAAGGCAGGTTACATGCCGATAATTATATTCGTAACAGATAACAAACTTGATAAGGCCGACACATTTAATCACAGACTTAATCATTTAAGACCAAAGCTCGACTGAATTCGACCCGACTCGTTAACAGCACTGTATGTAATGCAATCAATTAAGCTCACTCTGCTTTAACCAAACTTAGTGTACGGCTTTTTGTCATCCTCAATTCATTGGTGTTGGTCGATCTTGATGTGGTTTCTCTTTTCTTCGTCTCATGCCACCTCGAAATGCGTGCTGCACGTGAACTTAAAAACACTGTTGGCCCAAATGAATCAGGCCTTGAGAAACACAACAGCATCAACGAGTCCACACTTGTTGGGTTTCTGAATTTTGCTCCTGACCGCCAGCCCAATTTTGTTCTTGAGTAGCGAGTGATTAAAAAAATAGCGAGATTTTTTCAACAATTGAGATGATTACTATAAACAAAATGTAATTTTAATATTAAATTTAAAAATAATATTCTCAAACACAAGTTTATTTTTTAATATCAATTTTTTTATAAAATTTTTATTTAACATCAATTATTATAAAAGCAATTTTACTTAAATATAATTAAAATTGGCAGTAAGTCAAAGTGGTAGAACTGCTTATCAATCCAAGAATTAATAATAATGCCAAATTCATTGTAGCAATAATTATTTAAAAAAAAAAACGTATCTAGTATTTATCTATTTCTTGGAAGCCCATGTCAAACCATAGTAATTATATGACAAATTAGTTTAAGTGGTATTAGTAATCTAAATTAATTAATTAATATTTAAGAAAAATTCATTTATTATCAAACAAATATGAAGAGTTTATGAATTAAGCATCCCTGTCACCACCAGATTCAGTAGCTTGTTAGCATCCCAAAAGTTACCTAATTGATTTTGTCATCCTTTTACAACCATTTTAAACATGGAATACCATTTTCACATTTTTATGTTTCTTAATTAATTCTTTCATCTTTAGTCTCTTTCCCCACTTCATTTTTTGGTTAGGAAGGTTCTCAACCGTCTATTCTGAGATTGCAAATTTAGTCCGTCATTTATATTTATATCCTTCCAAGAGAAAGAGAGAGATGAACTTGACAGAAATTGATCATCAATTGTTATATATACTTCAGATTTATCAATTGGCATGTCCTTGAGATAATTTGATCTTTTTTCAGTAAGTTGTATGCCATTGTTGCGTAAAATCGACAAGTGTACCAATCGTACCAAGTAATAAAATGATGAGTAGAGTATCGTCTCCACGAGGATTGAGGCACAAAAGTTATTATAAATATTCCTCTCTTGTTGGATTAATAAAAATGGTTTAAGAACAATTATGGTTTGTGAAATATGAGAACAATTCAGAAAATGTAAATAATTCAAAGGTTCTTAAAGAAATTCAAGAACACAAGATTAAATGTTGAGAAAATATTTGAGAAAATATTACGGTAAAGAGACGCCAAACACCTTTACGATCCCCACCTTGCAACTTGGATTACATTTACGTTTACTTATTCAATTGATCAAACGATTCATCATCTTTTATATGATTAGTTAAGCTCTAATCCCTTAGTGACTTTAACCTTATTAACTCTATTAGAATCCTAATCCCTTAGAAATCTCTTTTCAAGTTAACCTTTAGAATCAATGAATCTTTAACGTTTGCGGTTCATGTAGCCTATCCCTCGTGCGTACATGAGCAGTTATCTTACCCTTTGTCAGGAATTAGAATTCCAATATCCCTATTGAAAACCCTAACCCTCGCAATCCTAATAGATTGATCAGTTCCAAAAGAATTATGTAATGAAGAACAAGACAAGATAAATTCAATTTAAATAAATAAACATAAACCTCAACCAAACTACAAGGGGTGTGACCCTTACCACAATTATAAAACTAGCCAGACATAACAATATCAAGAATGAAAGACAATATAAAAACTCCCCCAAACTCCATAGATGATTGGTGAATCTTCAATATCCCCAGTGCAGACTTGATGTTGATCCGTCTCCGCCGCTCACTAACATGAACTGAGTGTTTCTCCGCGATCCCTCTGCCTCCAAGCATTAAGAGTTCTCTTAGAATATCAATAATAATGATTCTGAACCCCCAAATGTGTTTTTAAGGGTAAAGAATTCGTGCCCTAAGTGGATTCCTCAAGTGGGCTTAAGTTGGATCTTTCGGGGAGCTTAAGCTTGCTCATTCGCGCTTAAGCTTGCTGATTTACGAATGCAGAAGTAACGTTCGCGCTTAAGCTTGCTGGAGCGAGCTTAAGCCTGCTCTTCGCGTCTGAAATTCTTCCTTGGCTCAAGCTTAAGCCTGCTGGAGCGAGCTTAAGCTTGCTAAGGCCGAACATATTTGCTTATACAGGAGGCTTTAGCTTGCTAATTGGGGCTTAAGCCTGCTTAGGCAGAGGCCATTTGCTGGTTTTAGGAGGCTTTAGCTTCGAATTGGGGGCTTAAGCCCCCTCTCTAACAACTTGATAATCTTGATGAGATCTTTTAAATCTTCTTGTTTTGATCTTCATCTTTCATATCTTCAATTCTTCCTCCTTTTATCTTCAAATCCCTTCAAAATAGCAAATGTATATCATTTAATTGATAATTCATAAAGTTCATGATTATTGTATTAAAACCCTAGTTTTTGACTTATTCAACTTGATAATTTATATTAATTTAGTCTATAAAACAAGATAAACTAAAGGTTTATCAGCCATATAGGCCAAGAGAAAGATACAAGAAACAGGATCAATGCAAAAGAAAGATAATTTGATCATTATATTTATAGGAAATACAAGGAACTGATACTTCATTTATACATAAAAGTAAAAACAAAACAGCAAATAAAATATTATATTGTACTAATCCTGCATATTATTGGTAAATCACACTTCACTTGAAACTTTGAGTCTTCATCCTGCATTATGATAAACAATGAGACTCAAGCCAGAAATAACAATAACAGCAATCAAATAAGATCTAGTTTATATAACAATATATTAACGGGATATATATCCAATGTATGTATAAATTGGTTGTTCTATAAGTATAACAATATAAAATAGCATAGTGTCTTGAAAGAGGGGAAGTACTGCAAGCAGCAATGATGCAATGGCAAGAGAATTACTGTAAGAGGTTGCTAATGGCAAATAGAAACTGATTAAATTAAAAATAAAAACCTTTTTTTTCATCCATGCAATTGTAACCTTTGAAGCTGCCTCTTGCTGTTGTAGCATTTGTTTGTGTAATTAGGCAGGGGCACATTGCCTTCCTCTATCTGCTTCACATCTTCAACGAGCTTCTCATAATGCCTTTTCACTTCCTCCACCGTCTTCCCTCTCACTGCTCTTGCCAAGTTCTGCCAGCGATCTGGGGTGTCCTTGTCGAAGATGGCCAAGGCATTCTCAAATTTTTTGTTCTCCTTTGCCGTCCAATTTGAGCTTGAGGCCATTGTAGCAACACCACAATTAGAAGGACAATAATGGTAATGAAAAATGGGCGCTACACGCTATGAGAATCAGGATACTACATTGCTATCCTTTATATATTACTAGAGGACCCGATAGAAAATTTGTGAATTGTATGTTGTGTGCTTGTTGTTCATGCTAGCTGTTGCTTGCTTGCCAAACCAAACTGTGGACAAATTCTAAAATTCCTAGATTCGATGCGGTTTTCCTTAACTTTAAGATGGTTTGCATAGCTTTTTGAATTATTTTAAGGCTTACTAAGAAATGCAAGAAAACATCGCGACAATTTTTCCTTAGCTGAGAAAGATATTGTCTCATGTAAATTTTACTCATTTTTTATAAAGTCCTCATTAAGTCACATGTTTGCCTTCCATTACTAAATTTTAGTGGCATTTGGATAAAGGATGTGACAGAAGACACCCAGCATGTCGTCACGCATATACATAAATTTTATCTGTTTATGCTAAAGGTTCTCTCACCCCACCTTTGCCCCAGCATGATAGCCCCAAACTAAGGAAGCAAGCTAACTAGTTGAGATAAGCATAAACTAGCACCAGCACAACACATGACAAATGATAAAAATATCAATTTAAAAAAAAAAAAAAAAAAACTTCACAGTCCACCACCAAAGAAGTTCTTTTGTTTAAACGCAGCCAGTCTTTAGTTTGGATCAATGACTGATACAATAATAGTTGTATCAACTTCAATACAATAATAGTTTGATGCGTGGTGGGTATGAGAAAAGGGAAAATACACTTTGTAAAAATAAATAGGATAGATAAGAGCAATTGAGATTAACGGCTAAGCCACCCTCCCAACTGATAAAGAACCCACTCGCCTCACCACTAACCCAAGGTTAGATAAAGCAATGAAAAAATCATTATTTTAAAATTATTATTTTTATTAGTATATTAGTATATTACCCATTAAATAATTTTAATTATTTGTGACCCAATTTTATAATAAATATATTAATTTCTAAAAAAATGTAATCGATTTTTTTTAAACAAACGATTT